CACAGCTTTCTCATATATATTATCCAGTACCACATCTGGATCTTGGCTTGTTTTTAAAAGCCTGCAGAATTCTTTCATGAGGTCAGTTTTTAAGCTTATATATCTGTTTTGCTTTGAAAATCTGTTTTCTCCCTTTTAAAAAAAAAGGATACCGGGAGTTAAAAGTGGATCACTTCTAGCAATTATGTCATACATCTGGAGTGAATTCCAGAGTATCAATGTCATGGCATGTTACAGCAAAGACTGTCAAGTCTAATCTTTGAAGACCTACTGAATCTGAAAGGACGGTGTGGACAGGCAGCAGTTTGGATCCTTGAGCTGAGGCACATTCTCTAAAGTTATTCTTAAAGCTGGGAGGGCGGGGAGTGGGGGGTGTTCTAGTTGAAGAGCCTGATGCCACAGTGATGGGAAATACCTTCATCATCGACACTGCAGGCTCTTAGAAGTAGACCGTTGGAAGAGGCTTGAGATCTTGAGTCCAGTTGCTTACGCGATACTTATGCCTCTTCTACATCATTCTAGACAGTATCCAGTAACTCTTGAACTACTTGTAGTAACAGTTATAGTCCTTTGTAAATTAATAAGTTGATATTCTGATTTCATGTATTAGTCTCTGTATACTTGGGTAATATTGAATCCATTCCTGAGACCACGCCTGTTTTGGTATGCTGACAAATCAGGTTTCGAAGGCGCTAAGGTGTGGTGAGGAGTCCTGGTGGTGCAGGGATTAAAAGCTCGGCTGCTAACTGAAAGGTTGGCAGTTTGAATCCACCAGCCACTCCTTGGAAACCCTATGGGGCAGTTCTGTTTTGTTCTGTTGGGTCCCTATGAATCGGAATTGACTTGAGGGCACGGTTTTTGTTTTGTTTTGTTTTAAGGTATGGTGAGTTTACCATGGTGATGCCTCTCTATCCAAATAGTCAGAAGGATTCTCTTTTGCATTTCCTTGTCAAGGAGGCTTCTTTCTGTAAATCGATCTCTTATCTCTTCTAATAGATTACACGCTCCCTGAGGATAAGGGGCTGTATCTAAATTCCTGCTCGTATTCTCTGCAGTGCCTAACACAGTAGACGCATAAAAAACCCATTGTCATCCAGTCGATTCCGACTCATAGCTACCCTACAGGACAGAGTAGAACTGCCCCACAGGGTTTCCAAGGAGCAGCTGGTGGATTCGAACTGCTGACCTTTTGATCAGCAGCCGAGCTCTTAACCACTGTGCCACCAGGGCTCCGCAGTGGACATATAGTAAATGTTTATTAAATTGATAATGCAAATGGTTAGAATATTCTTATATTGGATCATTTTGCCTTTTTATGTTTTCTATCCCATGGGCCTAGTTATAACTTCTAGAGCAACACATAATCAATGTTTTCTGTATTGCATCCCTTACAGAGATTTATTTTCAGGATACACATCCTATGTGTCTTTTGTTAAACTTATTCATAAATATTGTAAATTGAATTTTTAAATTCCATCTTCTAATTGTTTGCTGCTAATATTTAGAAATACAATTGATTTTTGTACACTGGCCTTGTGTCCTGCCAACTTGCTAAATCCATAGGTTACTCAGTTCTAGTAGGTTTTTGTTTTATAGGTTATTCAGGATTTCCTATGTAACCAACATGTCATCTGTGAATACAGTTTTATGTCTTCCTTTCCCCTCCGTGTGCTTTTTTCCTCTTGATTAATTACACTCATTAAGATATCTAGTTCAGTTTTCAACAGAAGCGATAAGCATAAACATTGCTGGTGTGCTCCCAGTCTTAGAGGGAAAGCATACAAAACTTTACTGCTGTGATGTTAGTTGCAGATTTTTAATATTTGCCCCTTCTAGTCCACATTTGCTGAGAGTTTTTTATCATGACTGTTGAATTTTGACAAATTTTTGTTGTTGTTGTTTGAGGTCGTAATACAGTTTTTATCTTTTGTTCTGTTAATGTGGTACATTGATTGATTTTCGAATGTTAAACCAGCATTGCGTTCCTGGGATAAACTCTGCTTGATCATGATATAATACTGTTTTTATATGTTGTTGGATTCCATTTACTAATATTTTGTAAAGGATTTTGGGCTATATTCATAAGTGATATTTATCATTTCATCTATTGATGAACATTTCAGTTGTTTCTACTTTCTGACTGTTATAAATAAAGCTGCTCTAGAGATTTGTGTAGAAGTCTTTGTATGGACATCTGCTTTCATTTCTGGGGGTAAATACCTGGGGAAGGAGTGACTGGTTTATATGACACATGTATGTTTATCAGTTTAAGAAACCGCTGAACTATTTTCAGAAGTGGTTGTACCATTTTACCTTCCCACTAGCATATGAGAGTTCTAGTTCCTCTGATCCTTGATACAGTCTTTTTTATTTTGGCTGTTCTAATAGTGGTATTCATTGGGGTTTTAATGTGCATTTCCTCAGTGATTAATGATGTTCAGCAACTTTTCATGAGCTTATTTGCCATCCCTGTATTTTCCTTGGTGAAATGTTTGTTAAAATCTCTTGCCCATTTTTTGATTGGGTTTTTGTTTTCTTGTTGAGTTTTGAGAGTTCTTTACATATTCTGGATATAAGTCCCTTATTAAATATATGCTGTGCAAATTCACTTTCTTTAAAAAGATGTAGGACTGTTCAGGTTATCTGTTTCATCTTGAATAAGCTATTGTAGTGTCTTTCAAGGAGTTTTTTTCATTTCATTCCAGCAGTCAAATTTATTCTCATAAAGTTGTTCATAATATTCCTTTATTTATTGTATTTCTATCTTTTAGTATCTATAGAATCTATACTGATGTCATCCTTCTAGTCTTCTCTCTTTTTTTCCTGCTCAGACTGTCGAGAGATTTATCAATTGTATTGATCTTCTTAAAGAACCAGATTTCAGTTTGGTTGATTTTCTCTATTGCTTTTCTGTTTTCCGTTTCATTCATCTCCACTCTAACCTTTATTATTTCCTTTCTTGTATTTGGCTTAGTTTCACGTCCTCTCCTTTTTCTAGTGTTTGAGATGGTCTCATTTCTATATAGGGCTCTAGTGCTATAGCTATGCCCCTAATGACTATTTTGGCATCATCCCACAAACTTGCTTTTTTTTTTTTTTTTTTTTTTCCATTTTTATTCGGCTCAGAAGGCTTTCTAATTTCCATTTGCTATCTTCTTTGATCCGCAGGTTATTTAGAAGTATGCCACTTAGTTCCCAGATGTTCAAGAGTTTTACCAGATATCTGTTTCAGATTTCTAATTTATTTCTACCATGGTCAGAGAACATACATTGTATGATTTGAATCCTTTCAAATTTATTGACACTTATTTTATCATCAGAAAATGGTCTGTCTTGGTAAATGGTTCATGTGCACTTAAAAAGAATATGTTTTCTGCTTTTGTTGGGTAGAGTGTTCTATAAATGTCTGCCTTAGTCATCTAGTATTGCTCTAACAGAAAAACCACAAGTGGATGGCTTTAACAAAGAGAAATTTATTCTCATAGTCCAGTAGGCTACACGTCCAAATGCAGGGTGTCAGCTGTAGGGAAAGGCTTTCTCTGTCGGCTTTGGGGGAAGGTCCTTCTCATTAGTCTTCCCTTGGTCTGGGAGCATCTCAGAGCAGGAACCCTGGGTCCAAAGGACGTGCTCTGCTCCTGGTGCTACTTTCTTGGTGGTATGAGGTCCCCCACTCTCTGCTTGCTTCCCTTTCCTTTTATATCTTGTAAGATAAAAGGTGGTACAGGCCACACCCCAAGGAAACTCCCTGTACATTGGATCAGGGGTGTTACCTTAGTAAGGGTGTTACAATCCCACCCTAATCCTCTTTAACATAAAGTTACAATCACAGAATGAAGGACAGCCACACAATACCGAGAATCATGGCCCAGCCAAATTGATACACACATTTTTGGGGGACATAATTCAATCCATGGCAATGTCTGTTTGATCAAGTTAGTTGATTGCATTGTTCAAGTCTTCTATGTTGTTGTTGTTAGGTGCCGTCAAGTCGATTTGACTCATAGCGACACTGTGTACAACAGAACAAAACCCTGCCTGGTCCTGCACTGTCCTCACAATCATTGCTGGGTTTGAGCCCATTGCTGCAGCCATTGTGTCAATCCATCCTGCTGAGGGTCTTCCTCTGTTTTGCTGACCCTCTTCTTTACCAAGCATGATGTCCTTTTCTATGTCCTTTCTCATTATATGACTACTGGCTCTCTCCCTTATTGAGAGGGAGGTATGGCAGTCTCTGACTATAAAATGTTTCTCCACGTGGTTCTGTTAGTGCTTAGAAATATAGGATTATTTTATCCTCCTGCTAAATTGACCCGTTTATTATTATGAAATGCCCTTCTTTATCCCTGGTAATAGCCTTTGCTCCAAAATACAGTGTTACCATGGCGTGTCTTTCCCACTCCTTTGCCTTTAGCCTGTTTGTGCCTTGGTATTTGAAGTATGTTTCTTGTAGGCAGCATGTAGTTGGGTCTTACTCTTTCATCCCTGAATCTTTGCCTTCCCCCTTTTCAGATACTTGACGATAGTCCTGTACTGTCAGCCTTGTCCTTGGACTACACATCCTTTTATTTTGGTTTGACTGATACTTTTTCTAAATCTTTCACCATTGTGATCAAACTTTTCTTTGCATGCTTTGCTTAAAAGCATGTTATATCACAGTGGATACTTGAGTTGCCCTCTGCAGGAAATACTGCCTATTGCTTCGTTGACTAACACTGTTACTAAAGATGTGTATCTATTTAGTTCCTTGCCCATTTGGTTAAAACCGGTCTGAACTGTCTGTTCTGCTCTTCTACCCTAATTGTATTTTTATCTTGGCTAACTACTGACTTTTTGATCTCCAGGAAATTTCCGAGGGGACTTAAGACAAACCTATTAATTGTTGTTCTGAAAATGTCTCTTCTGTCTCAGTTACACCAATTTTAGTTGCATTATTTTAAGTGTGGGTCAAATAAAGCTAGCTTATAACTAAAAGAGTATTAAAATATTTGCCTTTTTTCCAGGTGAAAATGTCTCCATCCTGTCGTCCAGCCAAAGGGGACCAAGTGGCCAAGGTCAGTGAGTTTCAAAGACACCAAACCAAGTTCTTCCTTCTGTGTATTTCTTTCTCTGTTGAACAATTTTCTCAAAATGGGAATTATTTTTAATCGTCCTAATGCTGTCAGAGGTTCTTTCTAATTGGATCCCTTAATGACATGTCGCCAGGACTTCCAGAGAAGCCAGGAGGGGTTCAGGGCCCAGCATCAGTCTGTGACGTGGGAGTGTGCAGGTTGCCCTATGTGAGAACGTGCTTACATGCAAGAGGTCTTTGCATCTCTTTGTCCCGTGAGGGCAAACTACAGAATGGACTGTACACAGGTGATAGATGTATTTGCGTAGTGCCGACAATGCCCATTTTTCTTTGTACTTTTTGTCTTTTTTGTGTGTGTATCACCACCCCGTTTCTGCCTCCCTTGAACTCCATCATGTTTGTAGGTAAGGACCCCAGAGCAACTGAATGCTCAGCAGAAAAACCCTGGGTAGCCCGTGCTTAACCTGCATGTGTTGGCACAGCTAGGGGGACACCCCCAAATGCAGTCTGAAGCATTTCTGAACCCCCCACCCCCCGAACACATAGGGCTTCATGCCCTTCGCTCAGAAATGCCAGGCTAGAGCGGAGCCCTCTGGCGGGGTTCTTTCCGGCCACCCGCTCGTCCACTGGGTACGGTGAGATGCAGTACCCAGAGGCAGTTACTCTCTGTCTCCCCAGCTTCTTGTAAAAACCATCTACTGCCATCTGGCCGTTTACATTGTCTTGCTTCACTCACCCCAAACTCTTATCCCTATTTTTGTTTTTTAAATTATTTCCAACATTGTATGCTCTAATTTGTAAGCAATTCAAGGCACCTCTAGGATGTAACTGCTTAATCAATGTTGGTAATTCTCCTGGCAACTAGGCCCTTCAGTGTTGTAGAATTTCCCTACTCCGTACCAGGCACTGGAGCCCTGGTGGCGCAGTGGTTAAGAGCTCGGCTGCTTACCAGAAGGTTGGCAGTTCGAATCC